CGACTTGTTTAGTGTAGATATTTTTACGCCCGCATTGAAAACGTTTACAGCATTTAGGAGGAGGAGTTCGACCCTGCCAGTCACGGCCAATTCAGCAGAAAGACAGAGATTCCCCTTTGGAATCTACTCTGGAATCAACAGCTGGTCTCTTCCGTTCGAAAGTAAAGCGCCTAACCGCAACAGCACAGACTCCAGTTATCTGGACGAACACTCTCCTGTGTTCAGTTTGCCTGTTCAGGGCGAGCCTTGGCTGAGAAAGATTCAACATCCCAATAGAAAAACCGAGATACTCCACGAAATATGTTCCCCACTCGGTAATCGAAAGGTGGTCTTCTTCGAGAGACAGCGAAGCGCCTATCCGCTACACCACAAACGCCATTTATATGGACGAACACTCTTTTGTGTTCAAGTAAAGAAACAAAAAATATGATTTTTCGAGTTTCGAATTGGTTCGTTTATTCCTTAAATAATTGTTCTTTCATTTTCTAGATGTTATTCTGAATGTTATGGCTTTTAATACACATATGATATTTTATGTTTCCGTTCAATTCATCAGTCACAAATAGAGCAAAACAAACTGCGGGGTACAACAAACAGCTTGATTATTTTCCAGTCTTTTTCCTATTTTGCGTTGGTTCTCAACATACACCATACTATTTCTATAGCGAAAAATTGTTTTGTATCCTGCAAATATCGAAGGAAACTCTTGAAGTCATGTTATTCAATGTAAGGCACGACTTTACAAAGTAGAGGCAGATTATGACGAAAAGGCGTGAGTAAAGAAAAGAATGAACAGTAGTGATTACTTCGGGCGAGTAATCATTGAACATTATAATATTTGTCAGCAATTATTATGTATACTTTTTTATTCTCAAAAATACCCCAAACTAAGCTGATTGAAATCGCACAAAGTCAAAACGAATCTCCTCTTGCGGATCAAAACTCTAATTGATTTTTTAAATAAAAACATTTAGCGCTTAGTAAAAGTTTAAACTACAAAAACTGGTGTTGGGCCCTGAAAAGATACTTTAAAAAATTTGAAAGGTGTAGAGGACGCCAAATTATGGCACAATTCAAACCTATTTACACAAGCTAACAACACGGATTTGAATATTTAAGTCTCAGGTAAAGAAAACTGAACTGAAAAAAAATCTAATCAATATGAATATAACTAAGTTCTTCTTTTAGTTCTCCAAAACAGGGCGTCTTCAAGCGTTCGAATGACCAGAATGCACGTCCTCAATGATTTCAACTGGGTAAGTTCATTATGCCAAGCTTTCTTGTTAGTCCCCTTTACAGTGTAGTAGCTCAGATCCTTCAATTTCAAGGCATGCTCTCAAATCTAGCCAAAAACAATCGTCTCTTTGCACACTTGTTCCACTGTGCTCTGCAGAAAAGTATGGTAGAATTCAGCAGTATGCGCGTCGCACTCCTTCATCGCCGCCTCTAAGCAAGACGAAGCGATTTTTCCTTGATCACATGCACTCACCTGAAACAGACTTTTTAAAATGTATGATAAACAAAAGAAAAGGAATCAGTGTAAAGAGTCAGTTAGTATGGCGGAGAGGTAAGGTTACTTGCCTGCTTTTATAAAGTTTTTGAAAATTTGATTCAAGTTTAAATATTACGAGATTCCTTTTACGGAAGTGTTCATAGCTCCCCAAATATGATATTATATTAACGATAATAAGTATCACTTTTTTGCGTATGTAGGCCTACTCATTTGAGCCTTTATCCTTTTCCTTCCAGTGAGTAATATTAAGTAGCTTAAAAGGTAGGTCTTGTTATAAAAATATAATTTTGGTGCTGTATTAATATTCATAGCACGGACATAAACAAATTTTTAAAATGGCATTTTTTTCTCGACCACGAAGCGAAATGTTTCTATTTTTGTTTTTAATGAAGTTTATGTCTTTGTTTATCAAAAACTCGTTATAACCTATTATTTGGAACATAGTCACCCAAGACAAACATTTGCATCAGCTTTTTTTTCTGATAGCGTTGACGCTGACGTTGAATATCCTGGCCACTTAAGAAACACAGTGCATGCCGATAGCTCGATTTCTCTGATGAGGAGTCAAACCTACCTTCTTTTTTTGCGTGACCAAGACCAAATTATATTATTGGGATTTTTTCTTTAAACAAAATGATATAAACTTCAATTTAAAAAGAAATCAAACTAATCCATCATGTG